AAAGGGCAATTCATTTTTGATTCCAGGTCCAGCTCTATGAGAGACTGAAGGGATAGACTCCCAAGAAGCTTCACTTAGTGAATCATTGTACAGAGCCAAATCTTCAAGGGCTGTTCCTATCATACACTGTTTTAGCTGTCTGTTAAACTGGTCAGGACCATAAAGTTAAAGCACTTCTAGTCTTGCCAGCTGAGTGGCCCAGTGCTGTCGAGCGGCTGCTAGCATGTGGTGCTGTAACCATCCCTACAGGACAGGGGTCATCGACCTGGAACCCATGGGCTGGACGTGGCCTGCCACCTGAACTCATCTGGTTTATGGTCCCTAGAAGAAATATATTCACACAGCTCACACAAGAGCAGGAGAGAGCACTCCCTCCCTCTTTGGGCAACCGTTCTGGTGACAGGTCCTCTGCCCAGCACTAGCAAGAGCAAGCCATGAGGTAGAGAAGATAGAGGAAATGGTGGCGGTGATGGACTTCTTCTCTACCCAGAAGAAGGTTGCTGACCCCTGCTTTAGGAACACAGAAGTAGAATGACACTAGAGAGACTAAACCAGGTTTGGAGGGGAGGAGGCATGCCTGCATCATCCTAAAATGGCCAATAAGCACAGATCTGATCCCACTCACTCTTGATCACATGACTTTGCCCCTGATGTAATGTGTGGCAAAGCATTAACAGATTTTTCACACCTTGTGGCTGCTTTGGGATGCTACTGGCTTAAGGAGAAAAACACAACTTTAGTGTTGGTACAGCTAAGGACAGCTCAAGTCTGTCACTCACAATCTGGAGACAAGTTGGAGGCAATGTCATGAGGACAGAAAAAAAATGTTGCCAGGGCATGTTTTGATGCAAGAGGGGAGAGAACCTAGTATCAAGAACTTCTAAAATTTATTTTAGAAGTTAATAAAGAGGTTGCTACAAGGTAATGCTTGTTTTGACATGCAGAGCATTAGTGGGATTTGGAAAATATAAAGAAATTATAAATAAAATGAGTAGCACATGTTTACAAATTAACTTGTCAGCATTACTTAACTTTATGGGGTGAAATAGCTTTGTTAATTTATACACATGCACACACATTTTCTTGAAAGAATGATCAGGAGGGCCTCTTGTATGGTTATGGTGGCATCTGAATTTCTGTCTAATATGTCTGTTGGGGACTATCACTAGGGTTCTCTTTCTTTTGAATAAATACAACAAGAAAAGTAAATTAAAAATACAGGCAGCATGAGCACAAATTATTATAGGCAAATGCTAGAATAAGATGGTTTGTAGAAAAACAGGACTTCAGATAAGCCTCTGTCAAGGATTATTTGAGGGGCAGGGGAAGCACAGGGCTTACACACAGTTGATTGGGTTTTAAGTAGCTGAACAAACATACATTGAAGTTACATGAACTGAGAGTTCAAGGGGTCATTTTGCTTAACAGCTATTTATCTAACATGTCTTTGGGCATTTTAAAACAGTAGGAACTATCCTCTGTCTTAAGTTCTTAACAGAAATATACATTATGACTAAGATTTTAAAAAATGTAAATGCTTTAGTGATACAACTTCTAAAAGAGACGCATGTAACAAAATTCATTTACTTTGGGCAGTAATAATTTTGGTATGGAAGGTTTTAAAACTCTTGAATGTAAAACGGCTTATGGTGGTTGATTTTATTAATAGACCCTCCTAGTTTCATTTTAGCAAGTGACTAATAATCATTTTAAAAAACAGATTCAGCTGAGTTCTGTATATGTTTATTTTGAAGAGTGTTCCAAGGAAAAGCTTAACTAGGGATGGAGACATAGGAAACATTTTGGTTTACTCAGTTTCTTTTTTTCCATCACCGTAGCCGCTAGAGCTTCCCAAGATTGCACAACTGTGGCAAGCTGCCAGACAAGAGCAATGTAATTTCCTGCAGATATTTTGTGAGTAAACACACTAAAACTGTTGTGTCCAGCTGCAGGTAGAATTAAGACACTGAGAAAGTAAGAAAAGAAGATAGACTTCTGCCTTACTACCTCCAGTGATGTCATTATGTCCCTGCCCTGTCTACTGTGGCCCTTGTCTGTTCAAATAATACACATTTTGCTCAATGAACAGCTGTCCTTCCATTACAGAATATTTCCCAATGTTGCTAGGAATGCACATGGTGGGGTGAAGAGTCACTTGCTGGGAAGCCCCACTGTTATGCTGCAAGAGTGTAGAAGACTACAACCTTGTCTGCTTTCTAGCTGATCCAGATATGGACCTTGATAGGTGCAGCCACACCAAAGAACAAAGCTACATCAAACCAACCTCCAGGATTTTAAACAATTTATATCAGAGGTCTTAAACTCACCAACTCCATATCATTTTCTGAAGCCTACCATGGTGCTGTGGATTGAATGGGTCAGAGTGCTGTAGGGAAGATTTGCACCTCTCCTTGCAGAGGAAGGTTGGCTGATGAGGTGAGAAGGTGGCTTGCCAGTCTCAGTTGGGCACTGCAGGATCTCCATTGGACTGGAAGGAAGGTGTGATTCTGAACCGAAGCAGAGCAGGACAGAGGGTGACTGTGCATCAGGGTGCCATTGGGTCTCGAACCAGTGTTGTGGTCTGCCCACTTTAGAATTTGGTAATTGGGAGAAAGGGGGCTGCCCCAGGTATAATATAAACCCTGTGTCAGGATGTCACTATGGCTGAGGTCTGTTGACCTACAGAAGGATCAGGTGTGTCATCCTGTTGTCAGCATCAAATACATTCAGTGAGTGGAGCTCTCTGGAGCTGTGAGACCACTTTGAGTTTGGGAGTGGGATGTTCCTGTGGCTCTGTTTTACAATGGACTTTTTTTGTTTCATAAATTTATATTTGGTGGCATCCTGGGTCACTCTATTTTCTCACCGGAGACTTTGATAGCAGCATTCATGGCTATTTGAGCTGGAGACTCTTGGTTTATATTGTACTTAACAAAACTCCCAGTTGCTTTCAAAGTCATTTGATTTTATTTTTATGGATCATACATTTATTTGGGACATAAAAATGTGACTAAAAAGCAAACTCTACATCCTAAGATGACAATTCAAACACTGCTTCCTCATCTGTGTTCCTTTCAGAAATTGTTGAATTCAGACCAGAAATAGGAGACAGCAATTTTTTATTGTTTATCCTAGTTCTGCTAATTCAGTGTGATTCAAATTAACATAAGTAAAACTTATGTCATGGTGAGTTAGGAGTTAGGACACTAACTTCTATGGGCTGTGGCAGATTAGCATTGCAAATAGCTGCAGACAGAGTGAATGGGATTGTGGCATACAACCCTGAGACTGTGGCTGGGTTATTCTAAGAGGATTAACAAGAAAATAATTCTGTTTGGTGGCCTCCCACTTCCTTTATTAGTTTGCAAGTTAATGTAGAGTTATGGGTCAGTCAAAGCTCATCATTTTTAAAACTATCAATATTGAAAGAAATAAACGTATCACTTTTTCATTCTGATGAGCTCATTTTTCTAATCCTACATGGAAGTTCAGGCTTTCTTCTGAATCCCTGGAGGATGCCCAAGGAGCCAAGAGATAAGGGAAGATAAGGGTCCTGGATAATGATGGAAGACAAAGAAAGGGATAGGTAGCTGTATCTGTTCCCAGTAACAGAATGGGGAATTCCTGGAGCCACTGCCCTTTGAGTGTGTAAGAACCAGAGTCTTTGCATTTATCTGTGACTTATCTATCACCCACCTCCCTTGATATTTCTAGCCTCTGCTTTCAATTATCAGTCATCTGAACAGCACTTAGTAATTTCAAGACAAAACTCTTGGAACCTTTGACCTGTGCTTGTCAGATAACCAAAGTATTTAGTGAAAATACACTATCATTTCATTGATTTGAAGCTGTAAACATATGTGCTTTGTTCTCTGTCAGCTTACAGTAACCTCCATCACCTAGAAGTGTTTGGTTTACTTTTCTGCTTCTGCAGGGAATGTAGAGATTTAAATAAGCTACACTGAGACCGTGTATCTCTCTAAATAGGAAGTAGTGACATTTGTGAAGTGTTATGTGTATGGATTAATTAGGCGTTGTATTCACAATTCCAGATTGATTAATACTGAGGGTGTTAACAACAAGGATATAACTCTTGGAGAGAGAATGGGTAGAGGCAGTATTCACACCAGGGTGGGCAGAATGTTTGTTTATTTTTTTTATTTTAAAACTATGTTAAGGCTATTTTTGGGTGTAAACTACAGTTTTTATGTATTTTGCACCTCACAATGGTCGGAAACCATTCTTCCAATTTCCAGTAATTGTGGTCCGTGGTCAGCCCTGGGAGCTGTGGAAAAGAGGCTTAGAGGCCACAGATGGTTCTGGGGCCTCAGGTTAACCACTCCTCCTGTAGATGAGTCACGAGTGCTGCCATTATGATGAATAACAGATGCTGCAAGTGTTACTTATCCAAAACAATTCAGGGACTTCATGACTAATATTTCTGTCTAATGAGCATCCTGCTGTAGATAGAAGTATCTGCGCAGATGAGATTTTCAATATTGTTTCATTTGCAGAGCAAATATAACTGGGAAAACGAAGGCCACAACATGAGAATGGAACAAGCATCCATGCTGTAGTCAGTGTAATATATTACAACTTCAGCCAAGGCCTGGCCAGCTTCTCTTCCTCTTTTTCCTCAAATGCTGTCCAACCTTCCATGCCAAGATCATCTGCTAATAATTCCTACTCATACAGAAAGCTGAAGCAAACCAATTTCATCATTTTTTTCTAACTTGTGGGGATTTTTTTGCCCACAACGTTATTACTTTTAAATATATAGTCTTTTTTTTTTTTGGTTGTTGTTTTTGCAGAATTACTTCCATTCTGAATTGTTGAATGCAGGCTCTATTCCCTTTGACCTTCTGACTTTTGGTTTGATGAATGTTGTGAACTCAGAAGTGGTGGCAGGAGTAGCTGCCTAAACTATTATGCTCTTAGTGAGTACTGAATTAACATGGCATATGGATTTTTAACTTTTTCATTTCATTTTATTTTCACAGTGGAAAGAGACAAGGATTTTTCTCACCAACGGCGGCACTACAAAGAATTCCGATTTGACTTGACTCAGATCCCCCACGGAGAAGCAGTGACAGCAGCAGAATTTCGGATTTACAAGGATCGAAGTTACAGTCGATTTGAGAATGAAACAATTAAGATCAGCATTTATCAGATCATCAAGGAGTATCCAAACAGGTGGCTTTTCTTCCAGTTGTACTTCAGATTAATTCTTCAGGTCTAGGAACAAAGACTTATTTTTTCTGCTAAGGAATTAAACTTAGGTGAAAATCAGACCATCCAACAAAACTGGCTAGGAAGTTAAAAAATAATGGTTGAAAGTGGTTTGAAAAGTATTGTTTGGGCTGACTGATCAATAACTCAGGTTAGCCAGCTGAGCTGTTGCATGCAGGTGTTGCATGCATTCTTACACCTTATAGTGCCAATCTTACATAGCAAAATACTGATTTTCAGTGCTGTGATTTTGTGAAGTTGTTTTTTAGATAAAGAAACATATATGCATGAAGCCTACCATAACTGCTGTAGATTATTTCACTGGCAAGCGCCCTTGAAATGGGCCTCAAATTTTGCTGCACCGACTTGGGTATTGCTATGTTATTGCTATGCTCTTTTTAGCCCTTGGACGACAACTGGCACTGCCAAAAAGGGATGGACAGGGAGGGGGAAGAAGTTCCAAGGCAGGCCTTGATGGAGAGCACTTCCCAGGCATTGAGGCTCTGGTCCTTACCCTGGGAAGTCAGATGTTGATGCCAGCCCAAACTGTGCACTCTGACCAAAAGATACTCAACCTTTGCTTATCACATCAATGGGAATTGTCAAGGAGAGAAGCATGTTTCTGAAATTCTGAAATCACAAAATGTTTGTAATATAATTGAAAAGACCACAGTTCTTTTGGCCCCCCCATCCCCTACAAACTCTGTCTAAAAAAATAATTAAAGAGATAAAATGCATGCTACTATTCGCCTAGATAAATGGCTTGTGGTATTCCTTTTCTTAGAAACTGTGTTGTCTTCCATCCTTATATCCTTTAATTTAGTATGTTGGATTTTGTGCATATTCCTCCTTGATATATTTCTATTAGTAAAAAATGCAAGATTTTGACATTGCAGAACACATTTGTACCTCAAAGGCTCCCCTTTACTAGACAGGAGACAACAGATTAAGATTTTTGAGGGAGGAGAGTATTATGTAGGTGCATGAAAATAATGGTACATACCTGTTTACAAACCACTGATGATGTTGATCCTACAACCACCTAGGTAGACAAAGAAGGAACAGCTAAGAATAAACTGTAATAAAATGAAATACAGAAAGAGAACACTGATTCAGCACTCAGCTTCATGTAGATAATGAGAATAATGGCCATTCTGTCTCTAATGGATGTCAACCATTGTCAGTATGAAGATTCATAGTTTCATTCTGAAAATTATAGTTTTGATTCTTCTCCACCAAGAGTCCATGCCATAAAAATGTTTACCTTGTATACCAAAGATGCTGTAAGATGGAGGAAACAATGGTTTTACCTGTGAATTTTCCTTTAAGGTCTCTGAAGTGGACAGAAATCCATCCCATTCATTTAGATGTTGTTGTTTTTTCATGTGAATTGAATATCATCTTTGCCTGTATGTGTGTTAGGAATCCCCTCTCCACATATGCATGTACTTTCATTTGCCTTTTTGCAAAACCTAGTCCTGTTGGATGAGAGCTTTTCCCCCTCTTTCATATGGAAGAGCAAGAAAAAAAGTATAAAATCAAGTGGCAGGTTTTAGACTGGTGGCTGGGAATATCAGGCCATAAATATGCCTTATTTTTCAAGGGATAATAGCTTCTGAATGGGGTAGAATATAGAGCAGCAACTTGCAGACATTGTATTTACTTGCGGCTGGAATAGATAATAACCACGATAGCTATTTAAAGGGCCTATCCTGGCTAAGCACTTCCTATCAACAGGGCAGGAAAACACTTTTTATGATTGCAAGAGTATCTACTTAGAACTTTGAAGGAGTTTTAGGGTTTTTAGGGTGGCTTATGGGTTGCTAGATCACCTTATATTCTGGTCTTCCATGCACCTGCCTCCCAGCTGTTAGTCACCTTTAATCGTTTTTCCCTCTCAATCAAGTTGGTATCCTATCTTTGTTTTCTGCTCTTTCCAGGTGTTTGTGATGTAGAACTGGGCAGCTGCTAATGGGATGTTCCTTCTCCCCATCTCAGGTGTTTTACTGGGTTTTCTCCACCTCAAAGAGTTTTTGCATTTTTGTTTTTTCATTAAGGGACTTGAGATTTTATTCTTATGTTCAAGATGCAGGTGGTGCTAGAAGCCCAAGATTAAACTTGCTTCTTTCTCACCCTCCCTTTCTCTCTTAAAAATATATAACTCTGTAGGAGTCTATCTCACCCACTCTGTTGTGTAAAATTGCTTGAAAATAGTAAGCTGATCATAAATATCACCCACAAGAAAACTGTTAAGTTCCCCTTATAAACATCACTGCCACAATCAAATCCACAGGTAGCACTATCAGATCTAGAGTACAAGTATCTGGATACTTAGATGATAGGAAAGGGACATAGAAAGTCTAACTCTTTGCAGCCTGGATCTGATAGACTCCAGGATCTATTTGCATAATGCACATATACTGGTTTCAGAATTAATCTGTTTTTTAGGTTCACACAATACACAGAACTAAAAACTAACCAGACAGGCTTGGTTTGCACAATGCACTAAGGCATACAGGTTCACACATAGATAGACATGCGCACACATCTTCCCCATCCACCCAACCCAAAAAACTAACCAAGATTAACATGAATAAAGTTAAATGCAGCTGCTAGATTTTTAACAACCCAGTCTACTTGTCCTCAGAAAATGAGGCTGTGTAACTGATGGCATGGCTTGCACAGAGATGCTTGACTGAGCTGGGTTAGCACTGGGAGGTCTTTTGAATGGAAGAAATATAGTTCTCATCAGCAGTCTGTAAGGGTGTAGCCCAGACACAGAGCCAGGTCTCTGGTATCATAATTCATTGCACATGTCCTTAATCATGGCTCCCCAATCTTTTTATGTTGTGGGCACACTTGGAATTTGGAGAGCATGCTACAGACACTCTCACAAAATGTTTACTTTGGCGGATATAACAAATCACAACATCCAGTTACCATAGGTAAACTGGTGAGGTTCTTATTTTCTCTAAATCTGCTTTAGCTGGAAGTATGTCCACCTACCCAGCTGACCTTTGTCATGTTTCTGTTCAGGTGGATGTACTTCCAAACAAAGCACTGAGCTGCAACCATCTGTAATCTTGATTTGCGAAAGATGCCTCTTGGGTGTGTTCATTTATTTATTGGAATTTTTTGTAATCTACTCCACTCTAGAGATTCTGGGTGGTCTGTGACAAAGCATGATATAAAAGCAATATAAGTAAACTAAATATCCTCCCCCCGTCCAAATGCACACCCACAAACAATGAATTAGAGTGAGAAGCATGGTGGCATAAAGTCTGAACTGCTTTGCAAAATGCCAAGGAGAGTAGGCAGCAGCTTGAGGACTACTACAGAAAAGGCCTATCATCTGGCTCACATCTTGCATACTTCTTGCGCAGGGAGGACCCTCAGCAAGTCGTCTTGAAATGCTTGTACCAGATGAGCAAATTTAATCCTCACCGGCATTGCTGAGGCCTGATATATCCCAGTGCAATGCCATATAGGGCTCTGCAGGTGATAATCTGCTCTTTGAAATGGGCCCAGAGCCTTACTGTAACCAATGCATTACTTTCAACATGGTGATTATTTTGCAATGGCAGAGTTGTCCCACCAACAGGCTAGGTGCTATATTCTGCTCCAGTTGTAGCTTTTAAGTCAGCTCTATAGGCTGTCCCACGTAGAGCACATTACAATAACCCAACTACATGATGATATATGCAGTACATTCCTTGTATTTTTTCTTTACAAAAGATAATAAAATCAGGTGGGTCATAAAAGCAAGTGGAGACCAAGGGAAATGTTTGTGGGTACCACGTTGGGAACCCAGGGCTTAAGGGGACACACTCGGCTTTTGAGCCTGCTCATTCTGATAAAAAGAAGTCAGTGCAATGGCAGTCTGGATTTCACTGATTAGGTAGGGCTTTGGACTTATGGGTGATCCTGTATGTGTTGTCCAAAAAAGGGAAATGTCATTAAAAGAAAGACAAAAGAGTTTATGGATTTGCATAAGAGATTCAGGTATACAGATGCAAATTTAGAGAGATTCTATTTAATTTAAACAAAATACACTATGTGTTATCAGAGTGGGGAAGATTGTGCTGGGGTTCCTTTTTGTGTGCCTGTTCTTTTGACTGTTCACGGTTGATGAATAACTTCAGCCCCTGCTCAGTCCTTCCTCAGTATAGCTCTTTATCTTTAAAAAGTTTAGTCTGGACAGCTGTTCAAATAGGGGATCCTGTTAAAGACAGGATTGTAAAATAGAGCACATGGCTAACTTACCTCCTCCGTAGGGGAATGATCCAACTGACATGGAACATTTATTCTTCTAAACATCTACACAGTGTGTAAATTCAGGTCACCCCTGATCAAAGTCGATGTAACCTCTGCAACTATCTTTGCCACTGTATCCACCCAGCCTGGCAAGTATGGAAAAAGAAAATAGGATATTGGTTTGGATTCAGAACAGAGCAGTGGTTCCTAATACCAGCATGTCTGTTTTCAGCCTCTACCTGGAGTCTTTTTCTCCTAGTGGTTGGAAGGTTGAACAACTCATCTGTTGTACTGCTGTCCAGTGAGGTTGCCAGAAGGAAAATTCACAGGTATCCAATTTTCCAATTTCATCATGTAAATGATTAGTTAAGTTAACCGTTATAGATGAGCAAATGTAGGGATTACATGCACAATTTACATGACTAGTTTTGAAAAATACTTGCTGCCCTGAAACATGAATAAAACAAGCCAAGTTTAATTTAGCTGCAACAAGGGATATACTATATGGCTCGGCTGTATTTATTTTTACAGAACCAAGAGCTACATTTACTTTCTTAATCTATATGCTGTATATAGGACTCTTGTGTTTGAGTTGGGCTATTAAGCCATGAATGAACTTTAAGATGAGATTTGCCACATCCATGCTCCTCACCATAAGTAATTTTTAATGCAAATATTCCATTAGGAAGAAGTGGGTAAAGTGATAATCTTGGGCTTCATTTCCAGAAAGATCTATGAACTATATATCTAAAATATTTAAGCTCCTGAACAAATTTGGAAAATATTTTTCCTTTTAAAATATTTAAAATGGATGGATTTTTGGTGTGGTTTTCATAGAATCCCTCAGTAGATCAAACTAATACATAGCTTTTTTTCCACAAATTGTGAAAAAAATACTTCAAAATACTATTTGAAAGCCTAATTCTTATGGGCTTTCATGTTACTGTCTGTACTTTGCATGCAGCTATTGGAATTTTCTATTACACCTACAACACTTATATATTCATAGAACTGAACTGTGGGATATGAAATCACTTAGTATATCAAATCTACAGAAATAAAAAATAAAAATTGAAAGCATCCATGTGTGAGGAAAATGAGGAAAATGGATTATTGATGCCAGCACAAAACTGTTTTGGGGAAATTAATTTGAAGTGCAAGAATCTAATTAGTTTATGAACCCCTGCCTTTCATTTCCAAAATGTGAAGTGATGTGTATATAGATTTTCTACCTTGCTGTCACAGAGCCAGAATCAATGTTTTACTGGCAAAGTTAATCCCAATGGCATAATTACCATGCATTTTTATTTTCTTATTGTTTTCTATACTAGGGATGCAGACCTGTTCCTATTAGACACGAGAAGAGCTCAAGCTCTTGATGTTGGCTGGCTTGTGTTTGATATCACTGTGACCAGCAACCACTGGGTGATTGACCCACAGAATAATTTAGGGTTGCAGCTCTGTGCGGAGATGGCAGATGGTAAGTTGTACACATATCTTTCACATGGATCTTTTTGAAATTATTCTGCTGTTTACATGCACACAAAGCACAAGAACTCATATACATTTTGGATTCTCTATGTGAACATTTTGATCAGTGACATCCATACAGTAAAATCTGTGAACGTGGTATATGAAACCCTGGCCTCACTTTTCTTGGTGCCATCATCACATTTATGATGGTGATTGGCCTTGGTGCTGTGAAACCACTTTTATATGTAGGTACTTGTAATGCTAAGTGGGAAAGACCTTGGGAGAATCTTAGAATTAGAATCTTCATTTTAGACAAGTATGTAGCCATAGAGAACAGTTGATTGCAAATGGCTTGCATACCTTCAGGGTTTTAAAATGTAGGCTTCTTGCTCCTGCCCTTCCAGATTAATAGATACGTGGTCTGACATTTAGCCTCAAAGCCAAACAATTGTTCAGTCTATACATAACAACCCTCACTGGCTGAGGTTCTCCCTTCTCTGTTCTTCTGAACTGAGATGTCTTGGATGTTTCATTCCTTCTCTCCTTTTGGTCTTGGGCAGTTAGAACGGGTTGCCCACTCCTTCCTTTTCCATTTCCTTAGGTACTCCCTCCTCTTTGAATTCCCTATGCTTCCCCCACCCTGACTAGGGGGAGCAGAAGAGGGGGGTTCCCTTCTACTACTTCATCAGGGACTTCTTTTTCAGAACTCTCCTCTCATTTGGGGGTGAGGCAGTCTCTGCAGTTCTCATGACACACCTGGATTAGGAAGGAACAGACAAAAACTAGGAGTGTTTTCAAGCGTGGCTATAAGATGCAGGAAAAAGGCTAAAAGATTGGTCTATGCTATTCTAGGAAGGTGTCAAGTTGTCCAACAATTCTGGCATCTAGCTTCTTGGATAATCACATGAAGGAAAAAGATCTGATAGAAATGTATGAACTTTAATAGTGACAAGGGTTTGGATGGCTTAAAAAGAGAATTTGATAAATTCACGGAGGACAATCAAAGGCTGAGACATGAAGGCCCAGTTACCTCTCTGGGTTAGGGACATGGTTTCTCCAAATACCAGTTGAAGGGAAACAATACTGGGAGAGGAGTGTATCTCTTTTGCCTGTTTGCAAGATGTGGCAAAAGCACAATGGTAGCAATGAAATCAATTCTGGTGAGCAAGTATCAGCCCCACTAGGTAGACCAGACCAGGAGATCAAGTTCACAGGAAAACTAAAACTCCTTTCGTAGAGATTGGCTGCAATAACAGAATCTTGCACATCTGAATGAGATCTACCTCCTCCTCCTTCTTATAGTTCGGTGAATTAGGGAGGCATCTGCCTAAGCTGCTTCTGAATGTTGTCGCATTCTGAACTTTAAACAAAGCTTCAGCCCCTTTTGCCTAGGCCAGTGTTGTCCAAACTTGGCCCCTTTAAGATGAGTGGACTTCAACTCCCA